CGAAGTCGCCGCCGTCGTCGTCGCTGCCGTCGCCGCCTCTGTGGTTGTTGCTGCCGTCGTCGCCGCGGCCGACTCTCTGTACATGCCGCCGTCGTTGTCGGAGAAGGACACAGGGGGCAGCATAGAGAACGGAACCGCGCAGACAAGATACTATACCTGCACAAGATGGAGAGGGCCCGTATTAGCGGGCAGAAGATATTGGAAGAGGAAAAGCTGTATAGCCGCATAGCCATAATTTGTCGGAGTTCCGCGCGGTTTTCTTGGATCCTCGCTGGCGAAACCTCTCGCTGCGCCTCCTGCGCCGCCCCCGGCGCGCTCGGCGCACCAGGGAGGGGGGGTTCAGCGCAGATCCAAGAAATCCGCGCGGGGCTCCGAACATTTATGCTTGGTTTCTTTCCTCCCAGAGATCCCCACGAGTGGGCCGCGGAGAGCGGCCCCCGCCGAGGGGAGACTTCTGGGCCTCCTAGATGGGGTCGGAGTGGATGGGGTCGGAGGATCGCGCCGCATCGGCTCGATGCGGCGCCCAACTTTCTCAACGCCGACGTCGCCGAGGCATTGCCGACGTCGCCATTGCACCGCCGATGCATCGCCGATGCATCGCCGATGTATCGGCGATGCTGCGAGATCCTCCTGCCACATATACTCGGACTCGGACCCCATCGAGTAGGCCTCTATAAGCAGAATTGCTTTACGCCAACATTTATTTCCTCATGGACTCCATGGAAACTTGTGTGAATACAGTTTGTAGATATTCGGGCATTACGCGCACTGGTTGGAGATTCGACGAAATAATCAAGGCTGGGGTAAGCCAATCCTGTAGTCGATCCCGTCCTTTTCGAACTCGGGCAGGTCAGTGGGCGGCGGGGGTAGGATTCGGAATGTGCCGAGCACGCGGCGACATCCGAGCCCCACCCCATCACCCAGCTGTTCAGTTATAGCAGGATTGTAGGTGGCCATGCTCAATATGATTATACATATATGCACACGGAATTGGAAGTTTCTATATTTTTCTATTTCGATCCAGCATATCGACACATGTTGTATTTAGAGGTGCCCATGCTTCGGCTAGCGAAATGTATCCCTACGTATATATAATCGTTTTTATATTTGAGCTATTTTCATGTAGCTATACTTATCGCACATCATTATCTTCCATGTACTCAAGTAGTTTAACCATATTACTGTAATGATGCTGGTGATGCTGACGATGGATGGCGCAAGCCCCGCTCTTGTGGATGATCGCGCTGGCCATGACGACGGCGACGCCTCACGCTTGTGGGGGATTGAAAAAAATTATCGCGCGCCGCGCTTTTTATGAGCGAGCTCAAGTCGAAGTAGGAACGCCTGTGACTTGGTTCGTTGGGACGGCCTTGTGCACGGTGTCCTTGCACCGCCCGATTTTGGAGCCCCGCCATGTCGATGTGACTGGCCCTAGTCATGGACTCCCCCGCGTACGCCTGCACCTCACGGGGTTGATGCACTGCGCCAATATAGGGAGATGCTGGACCGTGCGCGTGTTGGGCGTAATGGGGAAAACAGCGCGATATCTCGCGCAAGCGTTGATATGCCGCCCCGTATTCCAAGTACAGCTTACGCACGCGAGCTACCATGTCGTCGGGCGGGAACATCGGCGCATGGTAGACTGCCTTGGACAAGTCATGGGCGCGCCCACACACGCGCGCAACTGAGTGTCTCGCGAAATCCTGGACTCGCAATAGTGGTGGGCGAGGTCCCTGGAGCAAGGATCAGCACATCTGAACTTCGCTGCATTTTAGGGTGGCCCTGAGAGGTTCCCCCATCAGTCTCTCGTGACATTGGACAGCATGATCCTTGGGAGGCGATAGGAGCCGGGCCTGGCGTTGTACTAGTGATCCCTGCGCTCACTGGTGGCCGCCAAGCGCGCACCGTTGTTCGGCCCGACGCGGACGCGATTCAGTATTAGCTGCAATGCGGGCCCAGAGACTACGGGCGCCACGCCTTTGCGTTCGAGGAGATGCATCAGGTTAATGGGGAAGAAGAAGCGATGGCATAATAATGCGCTCGCCACCATCGGGTGGCGGGGCTCCCGTGCTCTGGCCCTGCGCGCGTCGAAGATCATGCCTTCGCCAGGCCTCCGCAGAGCAGTCTCCCTCATGTCGGCGAATGGCCGCGTTGTCCCGTTGGCGAGGCATTCGGGGCACACCTCGTCGCGCGCTGCGACGTGCGTCAGGCCGAAGCCATTCCTTCACTCTCGCCCTCGTCGCACGCGACGAAGGCCAGCGCGACCTTCGAGAGAGCGCCGCCGGGATCGTGCGCGAATTCTCCGCCCTCGACAGCGCGGCGAGGTCCTCGATCAAGCGAGGCCGCCACGGTCGGTCGGCGTCGCCGCCTGCTCGTTGGACGCAGGAGGCCTAGATGAACTCTGCCGCCCGGGCCTCTCCAGGCCCGACGAGGGAGGGGGTTGCCCGCGACATGGCGCGCAGGCGCCTTCGAGTAAGGCCCCCGCGTCGGCACGCAGAGCGACGGGGATCGTCGTCTCGAGCTCGTCGACGCCCTTGCCGCCGACGACGGGGCGTCTCGCCCGGGCGTCGGCGTCGGCGGGTCTGCTCGAGAAGGGCTCTCAGAAGCCGCGCGGCTTGATCTTGTCTGCGCCAAGGCGCGCGCAGAGTTCGCGCGGGAACCTGCGCAGCGCGCGAGCCCGCGTCGATGGCGGAGCAGCGCGCGACGCGCACTCGCTGGGGTGCGCCGCGATCAGGCGCGGGGCGCCTGCGATCTGCAGCAGGGCGGGAAGGCTCCCCTTGCGCCCTCTGCCCCTCCCCCATCGCCGACGACCGCTGGGGCATCGGGTATAGCCTCTGGGCGCTGATGATGCCATCGTGCCGGGCCAGCGCGTGGCCCCCGAGCGATTGGGGGGTCGTCGGGGGCGCTCCCGCCGCCGCCGTCTCGCCCGGCCCCGCGGCAGCCACCTTGCTGTCGCCGTCCGCCTTTCGCGGCGAGGTCCATGCCGCGGCCGAGGCGCCCGCGGGGGCCTCCGGCAGTGCAGTGGCCAGGGCAATGGCAGGTGCAAGGGGCTCCTGCATTTCAGGAGGAGAAAAAACACACAGACACAATTAATCGTCCACTCCCAGGAAAATATGGGAAAATATGGGAAGTGGGGGGGGAAGACAAAAACCCGGAACATATGGGAAAATATGGGGACTCATTTTATTTGTGTGTATTTATTTGTGTGTTTGTGGGCTCCTTCAGCATTGCGCGCGGGCGGATCGCGGACGACGCGCCCGCAGTCTGAGCCAGAACGGATGCGCCACGGCGGCGGACGTCGACGACGATGACGACGGCGACGAGAGCGAGGAGGGCGGCGACGACGGTGGAGACGATGATGGGGCGCGCCCGCCCAGCCGGACGCGCCCGCGCCTGGCCTGGCGCCCACCGCGGCGCCGACGCAGCGGTCGCGCGCCCCAGCGCCCGCGGGGCCTTGCGGCGCGCGCGACGCCCAAACCAAAGGAGAGCGCGACGCCTTCCGCCAGCGCCGACGCGGCGCCGCCAACGCCAAAGCCCACCGTGGAGCTCAGAAGTTTCGTGGAGCGCAAGAGGCGGGCGCCGACCTACGCGGAAGACAACTGGGTCGCGACCCTCGTCGCCTTGCAGCGGGTCGCGCAGGGCGCCGAAGTGGCGCGGCACTGGGCGCCGCCGAAAGGGGGCAAAGACGCGGCGGGCACGGGCAAGGAGAGCCCCGTGGACGCGGGCCCGAGCAAGGGCAAGCGTATGGACGCGGGAGCGAGCAAGGGCGCGCGCGAGCCCACGGACAAGCCCAGCAAGGGCAAAGACAAGGGCCCGAGGAAGGACGCGAGCAGACTCAAGGGCAAGTACAAGGAGATGCCCAGCAAGGGCAAGGACAACGGCAAGCGGAAAGTTAACGGCGAAGCCTAGCCCGTCCGACGTGCCAGCCCGCGCCGACGCCCGAAGTCTCGCGAGACAAATGAGGGAAATCCCCGCGAGCGTGGGGGGCGTCGTTATCATCGCCATCGCGAACCCCCACCGCACGGGGCGGCGCCATCCGCCGCCATCGGCATCATTGGCCTTTTTCGAATTCACGCACACGAACACACATATACACACACACACACACACACGCACGCACGCACGCACGCACGCCCGCCCGCACGCACGCACGCAAGCACACCCGCACGCAAGCACGCACGCACGCACGCACGCACGCACGCACACGCACACACGCACACACACACACACATTTTCGCGACATCGAAACATGCACGGGGAAGCAATGGCGAGTCCTTCAAGCAGTGTCGAAGCGTCCTGGCTCGCCGATCGGCCCACCAAAGAGTGTTCTAAGAACCTTGTGTGGTCTGGCACGAAATGTTCTTAGAACAGGTCTGGCTGGGACTGTCTTGGTTCAACACATCGGGTTCATCTTCTGAGAACCTTGTTGTTGTTCTCGGATCAACGCTTAGGGTTCTGAGAACACGTCGTGGTAGGCCCGTCAGCGGAATGCCAGGGCGGTCGCTCCCTGCTCGAGTCGTGGGCGAGGATCACAACCGAGCAGGCCCTGAGGCTGGTGCCTAGCACGCAACCGCTAGGCTTCTGAGACAAAACAACATCCATCTGACAATGCCGTTTTTACTACATGCTCCGCCTGCGGATCATGTATTAACAAATGCAGGGGTCAGTCTTAAAAACATCGTTGAGTTCATGCATAAATTTATTCAGAAATTAATCATATATAAAGATCCTATATTGCGGGCGTGAAAACGACCACAACCACTGTTTCTTGTTTGCGCCGCCTTCCAGCCGGCCGAAAAAAACACAGTGGTTGTGGTCATTTCGCTGGTGCCAAGCTCAGCGAAAATGACCACAACCACTGCTTTGTTCCTGCGGGTTGGCAGGCGGCAACAAAAGAAAAGCAGTGGCTGTGGTCGCTTTCACGCCCCGCATATATTTTTAAAATCCTATGTATTAAAAAACTGCCCTGGATCCTCTCTCGCCCATTCCTTCGGGGCGAGGACCACAACTCCTACCTGAACGGCATCGACTTCGGCGCGGCCGCCCGCGCCGCGTCCCAGAGGCCGCCCTCGGCGGCTCCCCGCCCGCCCCGCCGCCGCTCGGCGAGGCGGGCTGGCCGGGAGGTGCACGGGGCCCCTCGCCCGGGCCCCTCCTCCTCCTCCTCCTCCTCCTCCTTCCTCGTCCTCCTCCTCCTCCTCCTCCTCCTCCTCCTCCTCCTCCTCCTTCCCTCCTCCTCCTCCTCCTCCTCCTCCCTCCTCCTTCATCCTCCCTCCTCCCTTCTCGTCGTCCTTCTCCTCCTCCTCCTCCTCCTCCTCTCCTCCTCCCTTTTCCCTCCTCCCCCTCCTCTCCTCCTTCTCCTCCTCCTCCTCCTCCTCCTCCTCCTCCTCCTCCCTCCTCCTCTCCTCCTCCCTATCCTCCTCCTCTCCCTCCTCCCTTCCTCCTCTTCCATCCTCCTCCTCCTCCATCCTCCCCTCCTCCTCCTCCTCCACCTCCTCCTCCTCCTCCCTCCTCCATCCTCCTCCTTCTCCTCCTCCTCCTCCCTCCTCCTCCTCATCCTCCTCCCTCCGCCTCCTCCTCCTCCTCCTCCTCCTCCTCCTCCTCCCCTCCTCCTCCATCCTCCTCCATCCTCCTCCATCCTCCTCCTCCGCCTCCTCCTCCTCCTCCTCCTGCTCCTCCTGCTCCTCCTCGCGCTCCTGCTGCTCCTCCTCCTTGTGCTCCTCGGCAAAGGAAATCGAGCCGATTCAAGCGTGCAGCCCCGTCACACTTCCCTCGGTGGCGAGCCTGGGGGGGAAGACGCGGGAAGGAGAAGGCCTTCTTTCTCAGAAGGTTCGGAAGTCCCCCGGCTTTCCCCGAAGACGCAGACAACTTTTCAGAAGGCCGGAGGCCTTCTGAGAAGCCCCGCCGCTTTCTGAGAAGGCCTTCTCCTTCTCATTTCCCCCATCGCTCGCCGCCGACTCCCGCTCCAGGCCACACGAAGCTGGCTACGGAGGTCAACGTCCTGCGGTGATCCTGGAGGGAGCGCGCTGCGCAGAGTCTAGTCTAAGGGAAGTCAGGCCGAATCGAACTTGATAACCCTGTAGCTATTTCCATGTTCACCCGGGCAGCGCAACAGGCTCTGGAGGGCGGAAGCGGCAGCAGCCAGTAATCATCTCCCAGGCTGCCACCGCGCCACCGAAGCGACATCAGTCGCGAGACCACCCAGTCAGATGCGCTGGTTCTCCTACAGTGCGCAACCTGCTCCTCTTGTAGAGGAGCAGGGAGACTGTGTTTCAAGGGTCCCGCGATAAGCAGGGCCATCGGGCCCGCCCCCCCCCCCGGATAACCTGACCGTGTCGGTTGCGCAGGTACGACGGGGGTGCGCAGTACCGGTGCACGTGGACATGCGTCAGGGTGCCCACGTCGAAAAGGTTGCATCAACGGCCGGCAGCTCCCCCTCCCACTGGGCAACCCAGCTCATCGGCGAGCAACGAGGAACACTCTTGCTCCTCTTCTGGAGGAGCAGATCATCGTCGCCCCCCAACATGCTTATACAACGTGTTCGCGCACCGAGACATCTTCTGGTACACGCGTTGTGGCGGGCGCTTTCTGGCCACACCGCTCGAGAAACGATTCCTCCTCCTCCTCCTCCTCCTCCTCTTCCTCCTCCTCCTCCTCCTCCTCCTCCTCCTCCCCCTCCCTCCTCTTCCACTACGAGATGGGTGTACTAGATGCTCGGGGCGGACGCGCGCCTCCAGGGCGGACATGATATAGTATTCGTATGTCTCTGGGCGCCCCAGAGCACGCCCTGCACAGGAACCCCAAGAGCTCCGCGTGGATCTCTGGGATCGGCCCCTCGGTCCCCTTGCGGCGCCCCCGGGGTGCCGCGCCGCGGGCGCGCGCTTCCCGCGCGCCAGGGCGGGCCTCAGCGCAGCGCCGAGGCGCGCGGGCGTCCGGCAGTCTGCGGTGATGCTGCTCTTGTGCCGCGTCCGCCGCTTGCTCGTTTGTCCCCCTCTCCCTCGCCCATCTCCTCCTAACTTTTTATACGTCTCGCATTGCATGAATCCAGACACCTCAGATCCTCGAGGCCATGGCCTCACCCACCCGGTCTGCTCTAGGCCCGGACGCTGTCCGCAACGGTGGTCGCATCGCATCGCATCGCATCGCATCGCATCGTTTGTACGCTGCACGGACCATGGTGATGTCACCGTGGAGTCGATGCGATGGCAAGGAAGAGTACTCCAGGTCTCTGAATAAGCGTGTGGGGGTGGATCGCGTGGGGGGGCGCGGGGGGGAAGCCGCTGTCCTTCGGGGGGCGTGGGGAGGTTGGGGAGCGAGAGGGGGTGGGTTTGGGGCGCGTGGGGGCGCGGGCAAGGGGCGTCGGACAGGTTGGCACGGGGGTCGCTTATTGAAGGATCTGGAATACATACCGACTCGGCCGCAGTGGACGAAAATTGCCTCCTCGTCTTATTTGTTCACCACTGCGCGGCCCACGTTCCGAAGCCGTCACCCCGTCGCGGGTTTAGGGTTGCGGAGGACGATTAATGGAGACGATTAATGGAGAGGATGCATGCTGCCAAATACTTTCCATAATGTTTCAAACATGTTATAAGTATGTAAAAGGAACATGTTTGAAACATTGCTAGAACGTGTTTTACACAGTTTAAACACATCCTTAACTCAATGATAGGAATGTTAGAGTGTGCATTGTCATGGCATCCACAAGTTTAGGGTTAAGTCGGGCGTGCCCCTCTACAGGAGGAATCTTCAAATCTAGTAAAACAATTATCGGGGGACGGCTGTTCTGATCTTTTCGGCTCTCTTTGCATGTTGTCTGACTCTTTTGATTTGTCTTCCGCAGTCCGCCTGCAGGAGGACATGTCCGACCGAAGCCCAGGGAGAGGGGAGGGGCGCAGGTTTCCGCAGGTTTTCGAATGTTTTTTTCCGAGGCGATCGCAGACATGGATGAAGGGGGCGTGGATGAGCGACGAGCCCCGGTTCCACGGGGAATCGCGATCTCCGCCGCCGAGCGAGGCGGCACCGGCCGCATCTTTCGGGAGGGCACCTCCCCCGATCCGTGGATCGGGCGACCGCGCCACATCCATGGATCGCTAATCGTAAGTCGGGCCTGTCCCTCTACAGGGGGAATAGTCAAACATAGCGAAGAAAAATAATCAGGGGACGATGTTTTGTGACAATTCGAGACTGGTTTGGAGCATCTGTTAAGCATGTTCTTTTTTCGTCCAAAATCCCCCTGTGGGGGGCCAGGCCCGGGATAACGCTAATCCATGCTTGCGCGCCCCCGATTCTCTGGTGTTGTTCTGGAGCTCCGCGGTCTCCCGGGGCGTTTCCCGTCCGCGGGCGCCTCGTGGATCGGGGGCGCTCCCGGGGGAGCCCTTATAAGGGCTGCCCCGCGGCATCCGCGGCGCCTCTCGCGTCGGCGGCGCCGTCGTGGAGGGTCGCGGCGACGGGGAGGCACGCTCGCGCCGCACAGCGAGCGACAGGACGGGAGGCTCTTGGCCAAATCCGGCCTCGGGCCTGGCATCGCTCGGACGTGTGCATATTTTTCTCGGCGAGGACCATCGAGGAGCATCCTTGATCATTTGGCGGAAAAGCCACGCACGGAACCGAAAACAAGGCAGGGAATGGACGTCCGAGCGATGGCCAGCCGGGGGGGCCTCACCGGGCCTCGGGATTGTCAAAAAAGGACTCGGAACGAAACACCGGTCCCGGGGGAGTTGGTGGGAGCCTCCGGGAACCCCGCACTCACAAAAGCAGGGCGTCGCTTGTCTGTGAAGGTGCCCCTCCCTCGTCACTACGGCTGGCTTCATCTCGAATTTCTGGTCCGAGGCCACCCCGGGAGAGATCCAGGGTGTGTTTGGACGCCGTCTGGAATGCACCGATCTCGGGGAAATGTGGGGCACCACCCAGACTCAGATTAGGCCTTGCCATCCCTCGGGGGCCTCGATCTGCGAAACTGTTGCAACTTTCGAGGGCTTCTGGGGGGTCAGCGGAGTGAGGCACCACCCAGATTCAGATTAGAACTCGCCGTGGGGCTGCGATCTGCGAATTTGTCACCACTTTCGAGGCCTGTTCGGGGTTTCAGCGGAGTGAGGCACCACCCAGACTCAGATTTGACCTCGCCATCCCTGGGAGGTTGCGCTATGCGAGACTTTAGCCACTTTCGAGGGCCGCTGGGGGGATTCGGCGGAGCGAGGCACCACCGAGACTCAGACTAGACCTCGTCATCCCTGGGGGGCTGCGATCTGCGAAACCGTCACCACTTCGGAGGGCTACTCGGGTGTCCAGCGGGGGGCTGTCGCGAGCCGCCTGCAGACCTGGCGGCGCGCCTTCGAGCGTTTAGCTCCCGCACCTAGAGGTTCAGGAAGGAAACAGTGAAGCTGGCGGGGCGAGCTCGGCCGCGCTCGCTTCTTGCACTAACTAAGAGCAGGCTTCATCATTGAGTCGAGCGCCGCGGCGACATGGCGCAGGCAGCGCTGCATTTCAAGCGTAGCACCGACAATAGCAACACTCTTCGGTTTCCTCCCGTCATTTTTGTCGTTGTCCTCGGCCCCCTGCCACATTCCCTCTGCTGCTGCCGCGCTGACTGGTCGGCCCCCCGCGGGTCCTTTTCCTGCCCTTCATTCCCGCCCCCATGTCTTCCTCACGCCTGGGCCCTCGCTCCTCGCCCTTCTGTTGTAGTCCTGTGAATCTTGCCACGTGAGCGCATCCCACGTAGCTGGCACAACATGTAACGGCGCCTGCACCGTCATTGTCTTGGCAAGTTTGGGCCAATTCCTCTTGTCACTTGATGCAAGTGGGTTGGGTACGTGACAGGGTAATTTTCCGAGTGTGTTTGGAGAGTACAACACATTCCATCATATTGCCCTGGATGAAAGAGGAGGAGGAGGAGGAGGAGGAGGAGGAGGAGAAGGAGGACGAGGAGGAGCAGGAGGAGGAGGAGAAGGAGGAGGATGAGGAGGAGGCGGAGGACGAGGAACAGGAGGAGGAGGAGGAAGAGGAAACGGGGGAAGAGGGAAGAGGGTGGAAACTGATTACTTTTTGGCATCCGGCTTCTTCTGCCGAGTCAGGAAAGGTGACGTAGGATAAGGTGGAGGTGCAGCATGAGGAGCCGAAGAGAGAGGATAACGAGGGGAGCTGGAGGACCAGTGGGAGAAGGAAGAAGGATCCGAATGGGAGAGGAGTCTGACCAGGAGGAGATGGCGAGAGGAGTCTGACTAGGATGGGGGAGAACCGCAGCAGGGGGTTGATAATGAAGAGGCACAAGGAGGGGAACCAGGATAATGAAAGGCCTAGTAAAGAACACAATCTCTGAATGATAAGAAGGGTGAAGGCTGAATAGGAGGCGGAGGAGGGGAGGATGAAGAGGCAAGGGTAGAGGAGGCGGAAGAGGAGAAGGAGGAGGAGGAGGAGGAGTAAGAAAACGACGGCGATGACAGTGGACACGACGGCCACGTCGACGGCAATTGCGACCCTGATTGCGACGTCGAAGGTAAGGTCGACGTCGACAGCGACAGCTACGACGGCTCCGACGAGCAGGATGACTATGGCGACGACTGCTGCGGCGACAACCATCGGACTAACGGTTCTTGCCGCCCAGTGAGCGGAGGATCTTTGATGTTCTGTTTCCCGATTCTTTTATCCTTCATCATCCGTTCTTTCCTCTGCCATTCTTCATCCCCTCTAGATCCTCAGAGGCCCCAGGGAGAGGGCACCCTGAAGGAATAGGAGGAAACGTTATGGGGACGGGGATGGTGACGACTGACGGCGGCTGCGACGACGACAACGCGGTCCAGCGGCTATGAGGTTAACAGTGGTTGAAGGGGACGACGACGACGACGACGACGACGACACTTGTGGTGACGACGACGGCGGCGACGACTGCGGTCAAAGCAGCAGCGACGATGCCGGAGACGACGACGTGGTCCGTCGGCTCCGCCGCCGGCGACGACAGTGGCGGCGCCTGGCTCTTTCCGCCGTCGACGCTGACGACTGACGTCAGATCAGCGACAACCACGGCGACGACGGCGATTGCGGGGCGCTGCCCTGCGCCGCTAGCACTGTGGAAGGCGATTAATGGAGAGGAAGCACGTTGCCAAACAACTTCCAGACGTATCAGACATGTTTCAAACATGTTTTAAACATGTAAAAACATGCTTGAAACATTGTTTGAGCAGGCTTTACACGTTTTTAACACATCATTGAATTCACTGATAGGATTGTTAGAGTGTCCATCGCCATGGCATCCACAACGCCAGCACCTGCCGACGAGAGGCCTCAGAGCGGGGAGAACCCGTACCTGAAGGCCACTGGCCTGGTGGCGAGCGCGCAGCAGGCGGCGCCGGCGCAGCAGGCGGCCGCCCCCGCGGAGGCCGCGGCGCCCGCGCAGCAGGCGCCCGGGCGGAGCGGCCGGGCGCTGCGGGGGGGGGCGGATTCCTCGGGCAGTGCCACGGGCGAGGAAGCCTGAGCATGGACTAAGGCACGTGTCAAGCAGTGGCGAGGCGTGCTGGCTCGCCTAGGGCCCTGCCAAACCATGCTCTAGGACCTTCTCTGTGGTTTCCACAAACTGTTCTTAGAACATTTCTGGCGGAGTCTGTCTTGTTCTATCACATGGGGTTTATGTTCGGATAACACTGTTTTTGCACTTGGAACATCGTGGGGTTCTAAGAGCATGTCGTGGTAGGACTACAGGAATGCCGGGACGGCCGGTCCCTGCTCAACCGTGGATCAGCGACGGGTCGGTCAGAGGAGAGAGAGAGAGAGAGAGAGAGAGAGAGGTGCTGATGCCGCTGCCCTGGCCTCGCGCTCGCTTCTCTCTTGGGAGGCCTGCGTCGCCACGGGGTCGCCACCGCTGGACGCACCCCCTGGGCGAGGCCCTTAGGAGTGGCGGTGTCGATGCCTCGTAATCCAGAAGCCGCAGTAAAGTGATCATTTTGCCCCTCTGTGACAGAGGGGGTGCGTTTGGAGGCCCTCTGTGACAGAGGGGGTGCGTTTGGAGGCCCTCTGTGACAGAGTTGCTCGTCATCCCGTTCCTCCTCATCCTGCTTCTTGATTTCGGATATGTCATGCTACCACTGCGCTCATCATCTTTGCGTCTGTGATCCTCGTCGTGTTTTTCCATGCGTCCTTTTCACAATTTCCACCACATTATCCTCCGTTGCCGTTCTGCCCCGCCATCTACCTCGTCACTCTCCTTCGTCTGCATGTCCTCATTCTCTTCCGCCCTTTTCTCCCCCCTCTGGTTCGACTTCCGCTCTTCGTCCACTTCGTTCTTCCGTTTCCAACCCCCCTTCCTTTCAACCTCTCTGCCGTCCAATCACATCGCGTCGTCCCTCGCCGCTATGCTCAAACCATCCCGCGCCCGTGGGATCGCCCGCGAGCAACGGTGCAGCCGGGCCCGTCGCGGCCTAACGCGCGCCTGCGCCATCGTCTTGCAATGGGCGATGCAGGCGGATACACATGGGGTGGCGCGGGAGGATGGTGGGATAGCCGCAGCAGCGGCTGGCGTGGCTGGGAGGACGGCCATGATTGGTCAGCGTGGGGTTGGAGAGAGTGGCGACAAGACGGGAACACGCCAACGGAGGACGCCAAATGGCGCGATGGCCCTGCCGCCGCAGCAGCGGCGGCGGTCGCGCCTCAACGGCCGTCTCGCTTCGCCGCGCTTGGCGTCGTGAGCTCCCGCGCCCCTGGTCTCGGCATGCCCGAATTCGATAATTTCGTGAGGGCTGCCCTCCGAAACTCACCAGAACCTGGGGGCACAGTTTCAGGAGAGGGGTCGGGATCCCGAGCCGCGCCTGCGGCGCAGGAGCCCCGCGCCACCGCAGCGGCGGCGGCGCGCGGGCCCCAGGATTTTGAGAAGTTTGATGTCAATTATTTTTTGAGTTATGAAGAGAGGCTCGGCACTTCGTTTAAGCAACACAACCAAGCGTTGAAATGGTGGCGCCACGTGAAAGAAGACCCAACTGCCCCGTTCGAGTCAGAAGCCAAGTGGTTTGACAATGCGGAGCCCACCATGGTCGCTGTTTGCGACCACGGTGCGAGAACGAGCTTTGGTTTCAGAAGCGACGAGGAAGTCCCTTGGCGGTGGCAAGAGATGGTGGCGACGCTCAGGGAGGAAGATATCAGGGAGGTCGTGGGGGGGGGGCCCGCAGCAGCGGGGCTCTGATCGGCTGTTCCCTCGAAGTCCGGCCAAACAGCTACGACCACATGCGCCAGAGTATTGTGCGCGCGCGACAGTTCGCGGGGCAGCGGGTGAAAGTGAAGCTGCCGATGTGGGATTTCGTGTTGCACCGCGACGACGGGACAGGCGTCCGCTTGCACCCGCACTGGGGCGACAGGAAGGTCGAAGCTCTGCCCCTCATGCCCCGCGCGGACACGGCGAGGCCACCAGCCGCGGGTTTGGGCGGGAGCGACGGGTCAGGAACACATCGCCGGTACAAGGACCTCGGTGTGGAGCGCAAGGTCAAGTTCGACGCCGCCAGAGAGAAGGGGGGGCCGACGCCTTCTCAGGGGCCCCGCATCAGCGGGGCCGCGGCGTCCAGCACCGGGCCCTCGGCGCCCGCAGCAGCGTCTGGCAAACCAGTAGTTTGGGGACCGAACAGCTCCCCAGACGATTTGGTTGTGGATTAGGTGGCTCCGCAGCAGCGGGGCTCGAATGAAGGGCGCGTTGCATTTCGGCAGGGGCGCGCGCGTCGGCCTGCGAGATCGGAGGCGCGCGCGCAGGCGCCGTTGCGCGATCTTCGTTCTGAAGTCGCCCCTCTCCTCCCTGTCCCCCCATCCCGCCGCCCTCAACGTCGGCTCCTCGCCGCCCGTTCCTCGTCGCTCCACGCCTGTTCGTTATCCTCCAACTTCCTCTCCCGCGTCCTCGCTCTCTCCTCCCCATTTTTCCCTCCATCCCATTGCATCCCTGGCGCCCCATCGAAGTTCGCAGTTCGAAGTTTGAAGTTCGGAGTTCGAAGTCCGAAGTATGAACTTCGAAGCTTCGCACTTCGAGGTTCGATCTTCGAACCTTCGTCATCTCGTCGTCGTAATCGTCGTCCTCGTTCGTCGTCGTCGTTCCTCGTCGTCGTCGATTGTCGTCGTCGTCGTCGCTCGTTGTCGTCGTCGCCGTCGTCGTCGTGGTCGGCGTCGTCGTCGTCGGTCGTCGTCGTCGTCGCTAGTCGTCGTCGCTGGTCGCCGTCGTGGTCATCGTCCTCGTCGTCGTCGTCGTGGTCGCCGTCGTCCTCGTTGTCGCCGTCGCGGTCATCGTCCTCGTCGTCGTCGTCGTCGTCGCTGTCGTGAAACGCCCCACGGAGGAGGAGCAGAGAAGGGAGTAAGGAGAAATGGGCACGGCGGAGGGAGGAGGGAGGATTGAACAGGAAGAGGAGGGCGGAGGGGGAGGTAGAAGGGATGAGGTAGTTCAGAAGTGGGAGCAGCAGACTGGCGCAAGGGGAAAAGCCATTTGAGCGCAGGGAGGGATGGCAATGCGATAAAGTGAATCTCCCTCCGCGCCCGCCCGCCTCCGCGACGGGAGCGGCCCGGGGCATGAAGCAGCAAGGCGCGACTGGAACCGCGCTGGAGCCTCTGCTGAAGCCTCCGCAGCAGCGGGGGCTGCCAGAGGAGGCCCCTGAAGCAGTTCCGCAGGGGCTGGCAGGTTCAGCACCAGCCTCCGCAGCAGCGGGGTTGGGGCTGCAACGGACCTTGGGACGTTCCTCTCGTCGATGAGCGCTGCCCAGGAAACTATTTCGCGGGGCCTGGCGGTTGCTCAGAAAATGATGGACAAGGGCGACATCGCGCAGGCGCGGAAGTTGACGGCCGCCGCCAACGCCCTTGCACTCAAAATGGCGGGGCCCAACACGACGCAGAGCAAGGCGTCGGCGCCGGCGCGGGCTCCGCAGGCGGCCTCCGCAGCCGCGGGGGCATGCGTGGAGCCAGGCGCCGCCGCAGCGGTAATCCAGCCTGGACAGAACGCCGCCCGCTCCGAGGACCCGAGACCGAGATCTCCCTGCACGAATAATTGGCAAAAACGGCAGGGTCTTACCGCAGCAGACAAATTGTGGGACTTGCGGGCGCACGGGCGCGACAGCTCCCCCGCAGCAGCGGGGGCCCGCGAGACACAGCCTATCGGCCTGACCACCAAGGCGCGATCGCCAGCGCTTCCTGTCCACCAAGGCGCGAACGCCGACGAAGAGGCCCCGCCTCTTGTCAGCGGGGAAGGCCGCCCGCACTTCCCAGAGGAAAACCGCGGCCCGAGTCGTTCGAAGCCTCTCGTGCCGCTGCTGTGCGACGAGGCAGACCAGGTGCAGCAGGGGCAGACAGAGGCGCGCGTGAACTTGGCTTTTGCTTCCCTCGTCCTGCGCGCGGACGCTGCCCTGCCGGCTTGGATCGCAGCTGCCAGGGCCAGGCGCGAAGGGGTTCTCTTAGTCTCGTTCGAGCCTGCTGCGGACATCGCGCGCGACCAGCGGAAGCGACATCTCGACGCGCTGATCCGCCAGAGTCGCTTCTACGGCGCGGTCGCGGACGAGCGCGTCGGGGCTCTCCTCTGGACCCCCGAACGCGTCGAGCAGTGCGAGGCGCTTGGCGTGCACTCCCACGGGAAGTTCCTGGTTCAGGCCTGGTCGGCGACCCTGGCAGCGGGGGCCTACAATCCGAAAGCAAAGGAAGGCAAGCTCTCCATAGCAGTGGGGGGCGTGTTCTTCCGATGCCAGACGAGCGTCGTTGGAAGCGCGTGGCCCGAAGGCTTCCGCGACGGGCTTCGGGGCCTGGCGTTGCAGCACCGAGTGCGTGTTCTCGCCGGGATCTTCGACGGAGACGCGGGCGATCTTTCGGAGCTGCTCAGAAGTTGCGGCGCGTCTGGGACAGGCGTTCTCGGCTTGGCTTTCTGGTTTGGGGAATCACAGAGTCACGTGACGCACCCGCACTACATCGTGATTCTGGGCCCCGCTCAGGTTCGCGAATGCCCTGCGAGCGAGCAGCCGGAACTGCCGTCCTGGGGGAAACTGGCGTCGCAGCCTCCGCAGCAGCGGGGGCTCCTGAACAGGCTGCAGCACCGCCAGTTGGATTGGGCGGCGCGTCCGACCTGGGTCAGGCTGACGGACGCGGGGCGCAAGGGGCAGGGGGCATACTTCTGGCCGCACTTACGCAGGGTGATCTTCAAGGCCCAGTTGGCGAACCGCCTCACGGAACACTGCCACGCACTTTTCGTTTTCATAGAAGCCAAGAACAGGAAGTCTGGCGAAGGCGCCGAGGGCAGGAAGAAGGATCGGAAGTGGGAAGCCAGGTGGGGAAAACGGCGGGGAAAGGAGGCGGAGACAGAACCCGAAGCAGCAGCCTCCGCAGCAGCGGGGGCGCACGGAGCCCAGGAGGAGCTTGAGGGCGACGGGCGCGACGCCCTCGACGCCTGCAGCCCCGCGC